CGTCTGCCTCAAGCTTTACGAGCAGCAGGAGTACGAGGACGAGAAGCTCGGCGAGCACGCGAGGCAGCTGCTGGAGGCCATCACGAAGGAGCTCGGCCCCGCCGCGGAGAACGAGGCGGACGAGGTGTGGGAGGACGACAGCGATGACGAGGAGGAGGACCAGGAGATGGCGGGCTGAGTCGGCCAGCGTTCGGGGAAATCATGAAAATATATAAAGTAGTGGCCGTGCAGAGTTGTCTCTGGGATGATCAGGGGGGAGTCGGGGCGTTCAAAAGATGACTATATACATGCAGCACACACACACACACACACACACATACATCAGCAGCGGGTCATGACGATGGGTGCTGCATCGTCGAAACGATAGAGTCTCTCGCAAATAGATCACTGAAACGCAAACAATCGTCTGGCGTTGTTCCCCCTTCCTTTCTCTGTATTCTCGTCATCATCACTAGGTATCCAAAATGCCGGGGGGGTAATTTTCTTTTTCTTTTTTTTGTCTCGGTTGCATTTATGCACAATACTTTGCTACGCCGCCTCAACCTTGAGCTTCTCCACGCCCTCGGCCAGGCCGCCGTCCTCGTCATCGCCCTCGTCATACGTCACCTTGCCGACGTGGCCGCCCTCCCAGAGCTGCCGGCCCGTCATCTTGACGGGCTCCTTGACCTTTGCCTTTTTCAGCTCGGCCAGCCTCTCCTCCTCCTGCTGCAGGCGCGCCTCCTCCATCTCGCGCCGAAAATCGTCGCGCCACCGCAGAAACGTCTCGGGCGTGACGGGGGTGCCCTGGAACTTCTTGTTCTCCTCGCGCTCGGCCGCCATGACGGCCTCCTCGCGGCGGCGCTCGACGGCGGCCTTGCGGTCGGTGATGAGCTGCTCGGCGGCGTCCTTGAGCGTGGCGTACAGCGAGAAGACCATGGCGACGCCGAGGTTCTCCTCGACCGTCTCGCCGAGCGACGCCAGCAGCGCCGCCTTGTCGTCGGCGACGGAGAAGTGCGGGTGCGGCGCGCCGGCCTGCTGCTCCGGGTTGAGGTCGAGAAAGGGGGCCTCGTCCGGGTAGGCTTCGGGGTAGCGGACGTGGAGGAGCATGGTCGGGGGTTCGGGGGCGTCCTCCTCGCCGACGACGTCGAGGACGACCTTTATCCTGAATTCCGTCTCGGAGATGTCTGTCAGACAAGAAAGGGGGGGAGGTCAGCACGTGTAGCTTTTGCGTGGCCTTGCGCCAGCTGCGTAGCCGCCCCCCCTGGAGGAGCAGCAGCAGCAGCGGCGTCGCATGTCATGTTGTGGCCCGAGAAGAGAGGGGCAGGCGATGGGTCGTCATGGCGGGGGTAGCTGACCTGTGGATTTCTTCGGGAAAGATGGGACTCGAGCACCTCGCGCTCCTCGACCTGTTCTTCGCGGGCCCCATGGTGATGATTGGGCCGGGTGCTTTGACGGCCGTGTTGAAGGTCTGGGGAACCGAGCCGCCAGCTGGGGGTGGGAGGGGTGCGGGAAGGAGGGGGGGGGGGGGGGGGATTTAATCTGCCTGGGTTCGAAATCCTTTGTCCCCCCCCTGGGGTCCGGCCGTGGTCCGGGTGGTTGAATATCCCCCAAGGGGGGACCCCCCCTTTTGGGCCCGCCAAAA